GGAGGATACTCTGGTACTGCTGGGGATAGTCTGACCTCGTGGCATAATGGAAGGAAATTCACTACAAGAGATAATGATAATGATGATGATGGAATTAACTGTGCTCAGTCCTATACTGGTGCCTGGTGGTATAATAGCTGCCATTATTCAAATCTTAATGGTCGTTATTTTAATACTTCAACTAATAATGCTCAAGGAATTACTTGGTACCATTGGAAGTATACATACACTACTCTCAAGTTCACAGAGATGAAAACTCGTCGTAATAATTAAATACTGTCCCCCACACACATAAGTGTGTTTACATTGTGCTGATATATTATTATGCCCTTTCAATAAGCTGCCATACCTTGTTATAATTTTGGTTGACTTTTATTAATAATAAATTTATATGCTGCAAATGGTTAGAAAGAGATAACTAGCAATTACAAACACAAAAAATAAAAGCAATAACAAAAGTATTAGAAAAAACTTGGGAAAAATTTCTAAAAACACAATTTTACAACAATTAAAACATTATGTCCAATCTTAACTTAACCATACTCCTCCACACAAATGGGGTCAATCATGACTTGAAAAAACACAATAATAACAGTAGATACTATGACTATTTGACAGCATACAGTGGCAACAATGAAGAACCTTAAATAATTAGTGATACAAATAACTGTCAGTTTTACCTTGAATGTTCACGACTTATCAAAGTGTACAGATTAATGAAACTAACACAATGATTTGATAACCAATTACTATTACTTCAGCTTGTTTGTATGTACATGTGCGTCAGAATGTGGCAAGGGGTGGAGCCCTTATTCTTACATATCCATGCTCCCACAATCATTGGGAAGGATTTACTCATTATAAAAGAAGGACACTGTCCCTCTCTCTCTACCTCACTTCTACTCTCTTTTAATTTTACTTTATTGAAGCTAAAGGATCTTTAGCATCATGATTGCTACTAAACTGATGTACAGTTTAATGATAATAATTGTTATTATTAATACTGTCAATGGAAACTGTCCTGAGAATGAGAGAACTTTTCCGTTTGTTACTAACACTAGTGTTAGTGCTACACCAGGTACAGACTACAGACTAGTAAAACATATACCATTTCTAAAGTTATGGCTAGTCTATACTAATCTAATACCCTG